ATTGTCCAGTTCTCAACAGTCCTAATTGAAGAGTAACCTTTGATTGTAGATTTCCTTGTTGATGCCATGGACTACACCATGTCAAAGATGTAGAGCAACCATTTATTAAAGTGTCTAATTGATCACTCACTGGTTTATCTTATCACTGACGTATCACTCAATCCTGTTATTAGTGAAAACTATAAAATTCAGATAGGTTTTTCTTCTTGATCACCTCATAGACTGCTTCTTAAGAGCGCTGGGTTGCATAAGCAGCATTCCATTTTGCTTAATTTAGATGCAGGGATATTTTCTGGTCTAAGCATTGTCAACAGATCAACCCTTCCATTTATTGTCAGTGCTATTGTAGTTTCACGGGAAAAAATTTTTCAATTGCCAGCAAACCATGAAAATGGTTTTTGAAATCTTTTTTCTCAAACTTGAAACATATTATGAATGATTTTTGACTAAAGTACCAAAAAATTGAATGATTTTTTCACTATAATCTGTGAAAAACCATAAAAGTTGGTTGTTACAATAATGTATCAAAAGTCAACATAATGCTAAGAATAGAAACTAGCAAATGAGATCCCTATGCTCTTAAAGATTGCTCATGGTAGACGGTTTTGATTGAGTCCATGTGGGTTATGATCCTTTTAGCTAGGATTAATCTTTTTAAGTTTATTTCCTTTAAGTATCCGAGAATCAAGCTCACAGTGACTTTCCTTACCGAGATTGACATTTACATTAAATACGCAGGAACTTGACCATAAAGGGATTGAAAAGGCAAATCTCTCCCCACATATTCCATCCCAAAATGCTACATAATCTGTAAGTGTATATCAATCTTGCGAGACAATAACCAATGAAGATGTTGATGGAAACCAATAAAACAAAATTTCTGGCTGACTACCGGATGAATTACAGAATGGTCAAAGAAAAGGATTAGTTTCATTAAGGTCTGCTTCTTCTCATAAATCGTATTGGACAATATCATACGAGCTATAAACAGACACATGAAGATAGGAAAAAGAAGAATTTTGAGTTTGGTCCAATTCATAGGAGCTATATACAATCTCAAGATTTCTATTGGCATGACCTGATAGAACATATGTATTGTTCTATTTGTTTTAAAATGGTAACAATTTTGCTGTTCCACCAGAAGCGTTAACTGCAATATTTGTTTGTCATCTTAACTGCAGGTAGCTTCATTTTCTGGCCTTGAAATGAAGAAAATTAACGAGGTATGGCTCTTTGTTTATCCAGTGGCGTTTGAAGTTCAGTAAGTCTAATAGATTGTGAACTTATGATCAAAAATTGACCTTTAAAATTTCCTCGTATATCTGTTCTTATTGAACTTTCTATGGCAATATCAGATGTAAAGAAGTTGAACATTGGAGCACCTTTCTGCTCTGTGTTTCTAATTATTCAGCTTTTGGATTTTAGATATGATTTATTTCTTCTAATAGATTTCTTTATGCAGGTCTATGGCAAAGAACTCTCCCTGGCTTGCATTCATGCTTCCTAGAAGCTAAGGCTAATTTTCATGCTATGGAGACACTACCAAAGGAAGTGATTCTTTCTTTGCCATTTGCATCGATATAATTAGTAAGCAGCAATGCATCAATTTGTGGGTGTGGGCAATAGCTTCATCTAGAAAGTTTCTCTGATAGCTTCATTCTAGAATATTTGCTTTTGTTCTACACCTGTGGCAACAATAACATCAGAAGTATATCAAATTCTTCAATTACCTTGGACAAAGGCAATGAGATATTGGCACTCATCGTGAGGCAATGAAGGCAGTAAGTAACCACTTGCTACAAGTACATGTCTAATTGAAATTTAAAATAGTTTTTGTCAGGTCCTTTAAAATTCTTTGGAATCCAATTGCATTTGTCTTGAATATTTATAAACTTAAACGTTAATTACGTAGTTAACTGTCGCATGAATGCAGATAAGAAATTAACTTATCCTGAGGTGGGTTGAGGCCTCTAATGGCAAAGGATCCAGCACAAGTGCTTGAATTGGTGGAATTCAGATGTCTCAATATTTCACGAGCTTATCTACTTCTAGAAACAACCAGTTGAACTGATAAATATGGAAATTGAAAATCCCAAATGAAGCCAAGGAATCATGAGGAACAAGGTAAATTAATTTGCACAAGAGTTTTCAGATGTTTGTCAGATAAAAATAAACAAATAAGCATTCGGTACCATACAATTGGTCCTAAATTATTTTACAATTGGTACTAGAATTGGTGCTTTGAAATTGAAAATCTGAAATGGAGGGCTGCTGTAGTATCTGCACCAAAGAATCATGAAAAAGAAGGTAAGAGTTTTCAGATGTCTGTTCGACAAAAGAAATTGCATTAGGTACTCTATTAAAGCCTCATTTTGGTTTTCTTTTAGGTAGTAAATTAATTTACATTTGGTTCTACAATAGGTGCTTCCCTATTTCAATAATTCTTCTACACCAAGGCACTTGTCATGTATACACAAAAGATGCATGAGGGAGAGTATAATAGAAGGCTTTTATTTCCAGATATGATCTATTTCTTCTCTAATTGATTTCTTTACTCAGGTCAATTGCAAAGAACTTATCTCTTGCTATGAACTCAAACTTTATTAAACCCGAGGCTTATTTTTTCATGTGAAGGAAACTCAAGAAGAGATGCGGTTCTCCTGTTGCGTATTGCATCCATATAGTTAGTAAGTAGTGCAATGAATCAATTCCTATTGCTGCTTCATCTAGAAAGATTTCTTGAAAGGTTATGGGTTACTAACAAAGTAGCTTCTTGTCTTGCAGGCCTTGTTTGCTGGAATATTTGTTCTTGTTCTGCACTTGTTGCAAGCAAAAACAACTGAACCCTATCAAATCCTTATTATTTAATTGGAAAAGACTCTGAGATATTGGCACAATCCAGGGCAACCACACTGCTAATTCCAAACCAGGAGTACTGGTAATGCCATAGAGTTCAAATTACAAAGATTTTCTGAGACAGACCATCAATCACACCAATGGTCCAATGAGGAAAGGTCAATGTGTCAAGTGGGATAGAACTCTTTTCACAAAGGCTAGAAGTGGGAGATCAGCTCATCTGGATTTTGGGCTTTAAATTCTTGTTGCCTGCCTATTGTTGGAGTCTAAGATTGGGATTGGGCCTCGAGGCTATAATTAAGGTCCTAGTCCTTCTCCGTTCTAACGGTCAAAAAACCAATGGTTATTTACAATCATAAGGCCAAATCCAACGGCTATCATAATAGAGCTGTTGGTTGATTAATTGCCATTTTTATGTTGGTTAACCACTATTAACGGCTATTGTAAAGGGTCCTTCAATGGCTTAAACCCAAATTCGCATTTTCG